TCTTTAAATCAATTTTTTCTTCGATTTAACCAATGGTGTCACGAGAAAAGTTTAAAGATTTCACTAACGATATCGAAAGCATGTATATTCACCCGGAAACAAACTATTCCCAATCAGATTGTTTTACAAGACCATAGTTTTCCCGTTATTTCTCACGTAACATACCTAGGAGTAACAATTGATAGAAAATTAGTCTGGAAAGAGCACATAGAAAGAGTATTAAAAAAGCCGAGAAAGGATTAAATATATTAAGAGCTGTAAGTTCTTACAGTTGGGGAGCCGATTCAGAAATGTCTCTGTTATTATACAGGTCATTTATTAGATCAATTTTGGATTACGGATGCTTTCTATACTCTCAAACAGCCTCCAGTAACCTAAAAAAGTTAGATAATTTAGTGAATAAATGTCTAAGATTATCCCTTGGAGTCTTTAAAAGTACACCAATTTCAAATCTTCAAGTAGAATGTTGTGAAATGCCTTTAGAGCTGAGAAGAAAATATCTGTAATAAATTTTTGTGCAAAATTTCATCTAAAAATAGTAGTCTAGTTAATCAAGTTCACAACCTTTTTATAATGGATGTAACTAATAAGTACTGGAAGAAAAAAGAATCACTGGTTTTATGTAAATCATATCAAGACTGCTTATAATATAACGACAATATGTATAAAAACGAACTGTTACCGATATACCAAACAAACTTAACTGATGTGCCTGAAATAGACACACGCTTTCTAAGAGATTATTCTAATTACCCCATGTCGTTGAGAAATGTGATGTTTAATTCAGACATAGAAAATGATTTTAAAAATTATCATATCATATTTACAGATGCATCAAAAAAAGATGAAAAAACGTCCTGTGCATTTTGGGACCCTAAACAAGACTATTTCGAGGCTAAAAAACTTCCGAGTGAATTTTCAAATTATTCAGCTGAACAATTTGCTATATTAAAAGCATTAAAATATATTAAAAATAATTTATTTAATAATAAAATTTTTTTAATAATATCAGATTGTAAAAGTGTTTTACATAAACTTTCAAACATATCTACTAATATTAATATTAATTATATCTTACAAAATATATTAATCATTTTTAAATACTTGTAGGTATGAGGAAGGAAAAATAGTTAAGTTTGTTTGGGTTAAAGCTCATTGTGGGATCATCCACAATGAAAAAGTAGACATACTGGCCAAGGAAGCCTTAGATTCCGATGCTGTTGTAAATTATTCATTAGTTCCTGAAGACCTTTATATTATTTCAAAAAATATAATTAGGCAGGAATGGATGAATAAATATGATCATTCCACCAAGGGACTTTTATTCAGCCGAAAATTCTTACCAAACCATGGTTCTGTAATTTTATAACAAAAAAAGATGCAATCAGAATTATCTGTAGAATTCGATTCAATCATTCCCTAGCATCATCTCACTTATTTAAATTAAAAATTGTAAATTCCCCAAACTGCGAATGTGGAGAATATGGCACACTAGAACATATGATATTAAATTTTAGTAAAAATAGAATAAAGACCAATATTTTTATGGAAACCATTATGAAAATAAAAATTTTAGTAAAACCCATCAACCTTTATAGGTTATTATTTTCTAACAATTTAGAAGTTTTTAAGTTGCTATATCAATACATAAGCAGTTTAAAAATAAGAATATGAAACACTAGTTTATAAAGACCAATAGTATACCAAAACCTGTATATAAATGAAAAAATAAAAAAAATATATATATTAAACAATATTAATAAAAAGAAATACAGAAAAAATATTAAGAATATAAAAAAAATAAATAAAATAAATAAAAAATAAATAAATAAATAAAAATAAAAAAAATAAATAAAAAAAAACAAATAAAACACTGCTTGCGGAATTGGATAATACTGGATAAACAACCATTGGGCACTGCATACATGGATACGAGACTGGATAAATTGTTTACAAAATTGTATAAAATTAAAAAATAAATAAATAAAAATATGATTTTTGTAAGTTTACCAATTGTATAATGTAGAATTTTTAACGTAGTTATACTGTTTTTAAAATATTAATAATGTAAATTTTAAATATAAATAGATTTTATGGTCTATGGAAAAAATGGAAATTGGAAATTGCTGGAAAACAAGTTCTTAAATATATAATTATGCGGATACCACTAAAAAAAAAACGCGCTTCCCATAGGTGGTCAGGAAAAGGTCGATAATAACCTAATAATACCATAGGAATGTTAACAAAATAATAAATTATATGAATAAACAACAATAAGGCGAATGGATCGTTTTTATCGTATTCTTATGAGTATTCAAGAACCCGATCAACTTCGGAGGGCTGTAACACATTTGTAGTGAAAATTATTCATTGAATAATATTACCCTCTATAATATTACCCTGGTGTATTTTTATTGTAAAATGACCAGAAAAACAGTTATAAGACCCAAAAGAAAATGTGACTTTTTATTTTCTATTTTATGATAAAAAGTAATAGAAATAAAGTTGTAGACAATTAAATTTGCTACAAATATTTAATAAAATTTTCTGTAATGTTGCTAGTTTACGAGATACGGCACGAAAATACTTTAACCTCACAAACTTTAACTTAAGCTTAAACTAACCACCCCCCACGTATATATATATAAAAAAAATAAAATTGCGTCCTCTCAAACATGTAATTTCAATGCAACTTTATAATTTACCAATATTATAGAACGGCTAGGTACTTCTATTTAACTACTGCTGAACTTCACCATATCAAAGACATTAATAAATATATAACTTGTTTTTCTGCAGTAGATAAGAGGTATTTATTTTGTTGGTCCATATATTGCAAATTCTATCTATTAGACCAGGGGTGTCCAACTTGCAATGCCTCAAGGGACAAAACTAAAACCTTTGATGTTATCGCGGACCTTTTTGTTACAAGTAATAACAAAATAAAGTGAGGTATAAAAATAATTAAAACAAAAAAGAGTATTATTTCTTTTATTGCTTAACAACTACATTTTTTTTGTAAACGGAAAATTTATTGATAATACTTTTCAATAATCAAGACAAACATTGCAAAAGCAACGAAAAAGATGTATCCAATTAGTGTGAGGACTCTGGTCGATCGACTTCATCCACCAATGAAGAAATGTCCACCTCCAGTTCAGTTGTAGACACTCTCATAAGATGACGTAAGGAAGAATCGGTAAGGTTGCTTCTGTTTTTATTTTTTATGTATTTCATGGAGGAAAAGGCACTTTCACATTCAAAATGTGCTTCCGAACATTGATGTCATTTTCAGTCCAAAATCTCGCAGGTTTGGGAATTTCTCCTTTAACAGTAATTTGTAAAATTCAGCTCCATTTTCTTGTCTGGTCATTAGGAACATGTCTGCTTGAAGATAACATAACTCAAGCTGTAAGTTGGATGGTTAATCATCAATAGTTGCTCCAAGAGGGTTATTATAAAGTAGTACACTGCTTTTGAGACTTTCAATTTCTTCAAATCTTGTATTGAATTCATCAATAACTTGTTCAATTTGTGAAATTCAGGATGAAAACTCAATATTTTCCTCACCGTTGAATTCTTCCGCTATTTGCAGACAGCTAGGGAAGTGTGTCAGGTTGTTCTGTTACAAAGCACGTTAAAACACGTTCAGCTTATTCCGGAATCCGTTTATCATTCCGATCAAATCTGAAACCGTCTGGTTTCTTCTTTGAAGACTCAAGTTTAACATGTTAAGATAATTAGTCAGATCTGTTATAAAAGCTAACTGTCTTAAGAATTCTGGATCTTTAAACTTCTCTTCCAGTTCAGTTGTGTCAGATGAAACGTATTTGTTCTTATGGCAAAAAATCGTTCCATGCACTTTCCTGCACTCAGCCACCATTCATGGTTGTACATTAGCAAGTCTCCATACTCAGCCTCTGTTTCCACTAAAAACTGCTTAAGTTGCCTGTGTAAAAGAGATCGATTTCCACCTCTAATCATATTTATAATCTTAATCACGGTTTGGAAAACATGATCTTGCTTGACTGATTTTCCACATGAAGCTACCTGATGTATAATACAACGAATTGTTGGGCAAGTGACACCATTCTCTCGGAGCAGACTCACTAATCCAATTTTTTTACCTGTCATTGATGGGGCCCCGTCTATTTCTATGGCTGAACATTTCAATCAAAGCTGAACATCAAAGCCTCCAATTCTGTCAACTGTTTTCTTCACAGCCTCATAGATGTCTTTTCCTTTTGTTGTTCCATAAAAAAAAACAAATATCAAATAACTCCTCTTTATTGGTAAAATCATCAAAGTAGTGCGCACAAATATTAGCAGCTGATTAACATCGGTTTGATTAGTGCCTTCATCCAAACAAAGTGAGAAATATGAAGTTTTCTTAACCAGGCTAAGCATAGATTTTTCTACTTGCTCACCCATAGCAACAATCCTTCTTTGTATGGTATTATGAATAGGTAACAAGATAGGATCTTCCGTAGCACAAAACCGGTCGTGTTCGCGCATGCCGTCATTGGAGATTAGAATTTTAATTCTTGTTAAAGTTAAATGGGATTAACTAAAACTATTTATTAAAGATTATTTATTGACACATACAAAAAACTGACATTTCGAACGTGTAACTCTCCAATGACATCACGACTTATGCGCAATATCTTATCTTCTTATCATAGTATCATGCGTCTATATTCTTTGGTTTTATCAGTGTACACAGTAAAATTATTTTTGATTGTCGATAAAGCTGAAAAGTAACAATATTATTCAATTGATCTCTATCATAACATCAAAATTTGTTTTGTTTTAGAATTAATAAGTAGTTGTATTGATTAAGAATAAAAATACTTAATTGTAAAAAAGCAATTCAAAATAATTATTATTTCTACTTGGAGAAAGATGGAACTGAGTTCGCTGACTGACCAGAAATAACTGGCCACTAATCAAAGAAGAATATTAGACAGTATAAAAAACAGCTGCCAATGACATTGACACATAAGTCTGATTTGTGTGTTGTGTGTTTCATTGAGATTCGTAGGTTAAGATCGATTAAAAGAGGGCATAACTTTTAAAATTCAAGTGTAAATATGATGTGAAACTACATAAATTCTTGTGTGAGAGACTCTGTCTGAAATCAACTAAAGATGTGTCATTAAAAGTATACGTTAAAAAAGATGACGTTGGCGTTAGTCTACACCAGAAAAATTACTTACGTGTATATGCATAGATGATTACAAGTGATGATTCCCCCAAAGGATTGGAGAAAAGCTTTAAAATCACAACCAGCTTATAGAATTGTTAATAGGACAATATGTTGCCAGACGTTCTTTGTGTATTCAGTGGGCCTAACGGGAATAATTTTATTATTTTTCTTATACACACATTCTTCAACTGGTACCAGTAGTTCATATTATAGAAGAAGTAATTATAATTATACCTATCCAATAACTAGGCCGATAAAGACAAAAACTATGCACACTTTCAGAATAGGTATAATTGCAGATTTAGATCAAAGTTCACATAGTAAAAAAGAATCGGATACTTGGTATTCATACTTCAAAACTGGATATTTAACGTACAATCCTCAAACACATCATGTAGTAGTTAATTGGGATCAAAAGGAAGCAGATATGCTTAAAACAAGTTATGCTCTTAAAGGTAGAGGGTTAGAGTTGTCAGAATTGGTTACATTTGATGGTAAATTATTAACATTTGATGATAGAACTGGCCTAGTGTTTGAATTAGTGAATAACAAAATAATTCCTTGGTTAATTCTTATGGATGGTAATGGAAAAACTCAAAAAGGTTTTAAGTCAGAATGGGCTACTGTTAGAGATGAAGTTCTTTATGTAGGGTCAATAGGAAAAGAATGGACAAGTGCAGATGGGGAATTTGTTAATAATGATCCACAATATATAAAAACCATCACCAAAGAGGGCCACATCAATCACATAAATTGGGTTGAAGAATATAATAGATTAAGAGGTATAATTGGAATAAAGTGGCCTGGTTATATGATCCATGAAAGTGGACTTTGGTCAGCTGTACATAAGAGATGGTTTTTCCTACCAAGGCGGTGCAGTAAGGAAAAATATAATGAGAGTTTAGATGAACATAGAGGATGTTCAGTGCTTATTACAGCTGATGCAAATGTTGATGATGTGAATGTGATAGAAATTGGTAATGCCAAACCAACTAGAGGTTTCTCAAGCTTTAAATTTGTTCCCACATCGAATGACCAAGTGATTGTAGCTTTAAGAACAGAAGAGTTAAATGGAAACACTGCGACATACATAACAGCATTCACCATTGATGGTCATATGCTGCTGGAAGATGAACACATTGCTGATGATAAATATGAAGGTTTTGAGTTCATTTAGTATTTCTCTAGTCAATTGTTTTATATTTAATATGTTGTAAATTTCATTGTAAAATAAATTATTTAAAATCATAGTTATATATTTTTTATATATTAAAAATGCATTTTTGTTAAACTAGAGAAAATTATTGTGTAAAATAAATTTTAAAAATTAAATGTACTTATATATTTTATAATATAATATATAAAAACTTTCTGATTTCATTGGTGGATAACATATTACTATTTATCTGAAAACAATACTAAAATTAGATTTTATGATCCATATTTCCTTAATTAATTTAATTCGTAAAACAACAAACACCACAAAATGCTAAATATTATATATATATATATATATATATATATATTATATATATATATATATATGTAAAGAATTAAATCTTTTAGCGAAAGCCGCTATCGCTTTATATATCAAATGGCCAACTATATGGCCTAGGAGACAAATTCGTTAAACTTCCCGTGTTCGAATTGGTATCACTAAAGTGTTATGATCATTTCGGCCTATCCCAGCCATCGTCAGACTCAGCCCAAGTGTCTGACGATGGCTGGGATAGGCCGAAATGATCATAACAGTTTAGTGATACCAATTCGAACACGGGAAGTTTAACGAATTTGTCTCCTAGGCCATATAGTTGGCCATTTGATATATATATACATATGTATATATATATATATATATATATATATATATATATATATATATTATATATATATATATATATATGGGATATATATTAATGTAAGCACTGTTTTGAATAGTTTTAACAAGTTGCTGCATTGTCTGTATAAACCAGTTCTTTTGAGAGTAAATACTATATTTTAGCCAAACTTATATCAATAAAGTAACAATAGGAATTCACTAATATGTTAAGCTAATATGTTTGATGATTATATTACAAGTTCGGAAAAACAATATTCTTTTTATGTAAAACTCATCTCTTGATTTTTAATGATTTAATCTTAAAATTATAATATTAAGTTTATTCACATGAAAATATACAATAGTAGTAAAATATTTAATAATACATTTATTTAATTGTTCTAAATGAACATAAACATGTAATTAAACAACAAAATAATGGTTCAAAGTAGATAAACAATAGTTCCAATTAAAACAATGAAATTGAGCATGGGACATTTCTTTTATAATAATTGTTTATTTATATTGAATTCATAGCAAAGCGAGTTTGAATAATTTTATAGTAATTATATTAAGATCAAAATTAAGTGAGAGACATCTAATGCATAGAATCAATGTAGATAATAATGAATGCATATATAAATTTTTATGATTCCTTAATGAATATTTAATATAATACTATAACCTTTATTAATTTGTTTCAAAAAGATAGCGGAACATTTGCCTGTGATTTTGTTTCAAATACCTAGAAAACAAGTTCTTAATAATTTTCAGGAAATTTATAGTAATTAGGTATTTTTTGTAAATTTTAATGAGTAAATTGTAGATTCTTACTCAAAATTTCCTTTCCCAACTGTTTTCTTTGTAATATTTAATATAACTAAATCTATCAGACTAAGACTAAAGCAGGCCCTAGGCAACATTGTAATTCCGGGCCCATTTTTCAGTCTTGACACATATTTTGCGTTTGGTAGATTAGTTTCAAAGCACATAGTATGTAGTTAACAAAAATTAAATAAACCTAGTTTATTAAAACAAACAATAATACTTCAACAGATATACCCAAATTTATCAGATATATTGCTTTTTTTCTCATTTTCATTCTTCAAACCTATCAATTAGTTTGTCATAATAGTTATTTAGTAACTCTTTCTATATAAAGTAATGATAAACAATTTAATTTTTGTTGGCCTAATGTAATCTTAATTTTTTTTATTTTTGCTATTACTGAGACTACTCTTTCACTGCTTGCCTTGCTTATTGGAAAGGTTAAATAAATTATCAGAATTGTGTTTAAATTTGGGAATGTTGCATTAATATTATTTTCCTGTATAAATTACTACATAGCTAAATAATATTTTGTTTACTTATAAAAGTCTAAAATTATAATAATTTACTTTTCAGATGTTACGTCTTTAACAACATCATTATCATGAAAAATTATTTCAAATTGTTAATAGTTTTATATTCTTCAGAACTTTATGCGATCATTAAAGAATCACACATAACAAAAAAATTAACTTTAAAATATTGTTTGACACTGAATATTATTTCACATTCTGGAATTTCATCATGAAATAGTTTTCGTATTTTCTGTCATTTTTAGTATATGCAATATGTTTAACTTTTTCTGCTTCTTTTGAACGAACCTTACTCAATAAATCATATATTAAACTGATGTATTTAGGTATTCGTCTTTCTTTTGAAGAGTCTTGTTTGAGGCATTTATTTTTCTAAAATCTTTTCCCATGTGGTAAATAACAGTACATACTGAAATGTATCAAGTTTTTTATGTGACCAGCAGCTTGGAACCTTTTTAATGGTTTTTCATCTTCGTTTGAGGAAAACGACGTAAACAATGTTTAATTTCTTCATAATTTTCCTTTAAAGATTTCATAGCATCAGACTACCTGGTGTCACAAGTAGGTTTCCTAAAAGATATTAAAAAAAAGCAAATTTTCATTTTCCATGAAAATTTCGGCAGCAGGTATGAAACGGGCAGAAAAAATATAATGTTTTATTCTGGATTTGAGTCCCTTATATATGTACTTGACATATTAAGGAATTATTATAACGCTGTCACCGCCAGTTAGTGATGGAGTTATTGTGGTTAATGGGGTTTTCATACTCTGACAATATTTTATGTACACTTTTTCAATCATTCGTCCCTTTTGTCGTCGGCGTTGTTTGATTGGAAAATAATTTACAGACGTAAAAGTCCAATAAGTTGTTGGTTTATAAGTTCTTTTAACTTTTTCCCCGCTATTAATTATTGTTCTGAAGAAGGAGGCAATAGTTAATTTTCTTGTAATTTGTTGTAACCCTTCGTTGCATCGAACAGAAGATGATTCCTATGCTATGTTTATTGATTTTGGTGGATTTTTTATATAATACTTTCGCATGGTGTCTTTTAAGTATTTTACCTATAATGCAATATCGTTTACAAAACTCTTAGCTTTTTCATTACTTTGAGATGATTTTAAATTTATATTTTCTCCTTTTGTATGATCTTTACTATCGGAATTGCTTGGTTTTTCCTGCTGGTGTTTTTGCAAAATAGTTTCGGACACAAGTGATGTTTCTGGAGTTTGAGCAGGTGAAGTCTGTAAAAATGATAACGATTGTCATAATTGTTTTCCATCTAGAGTTAAACATGTGTCCAATGATATCATTTGTTTTGCCACTTTATCTAGATCTGCTTTTCATTTTTTTTAATCCCACTTAAATTTATATTGGAATCTTCAGTTTTCAAATCTCTGGCGGTCATTGCATCCTCGATATCTTCTCTCCATGACCGTCTTGGTCTACCTCGTTTTCTTCCAGTCGGTGAAGTTCATTTTTCTATCTTTTTTGGGCATCTATTGTCAGGTATTTTCTGCCGGCGTCCATATCAGTTTAGTCTTTTGGCCTCGATGTTATCTATTATGTCAGGTCATTTCCATTTCTCTCCTAATGTCTACGTTCGTCACCCTATCAAGTCTAGTGCGATATTATTTTATATATTATTTAATTTAAATATTGTAATACTTTTATAAAAATTTTTGTTATTTTTATTTTATGAATTCCGGAAAGTATTAAATAATTAATCCAAACCAATCTATATGCAATCAAGTCTTTTGGACACGTTTCAGCAATAATTATGAATATTACGTTCTCCTGTTAAATAAAAACAAAAACCAAGTATAAATATTAATATTAAAAACCTAATTTTCGGGCCCTAAACATTACGGCCCTAGGCATGTGCCTAGGTTGCCTATGTCTTAGTCCGCTCCTGTGTACCTATTCTAATGGTGTGAGTAAATATTTATTTTTGTATAGATTGGTAATTATGGTAAGAATATATATTTGTTGTGTATCTAACATTTGAGTTTCGGTGTAAAAGTCATTAGTACAGTATCTCAAAGTTCAATTGTAAATAATTTTTAGTATTTTTTCTATGGATAATGTCTAAAAACTGTAAGTGTGTATTTTCAATTCCACCACAACTAAGGATTCCATATCCTAGATGTAATTCTAGCAAAGAATAGTAAACAATTTTCAGATGGTGTATCCCTAGTATGCTACTTAAATGTTGATATTTGTACAATGTTTTATATGTTTGGTTTAGATGTGTATCCCACCTTAGATATGAGTTGATTTGAACTCCAAGGTGTTTGTATTACTCACTCCATTAACACGTTCCCTGCCATGTTGGTCCGATGGGTCCATCGCTGATGTTGCTTCAATAGGCCAAAAGGCAAAAAGGCAAGTTTTACATTAGCAGGCCATGTTGGCCCTATGGGACCAACATTTATTCCGATATGTACCGAGCCGTTGTTGTTGTTGTGTATTTAGTATTAAATAAACGATTTATGGAATATGACAAATGTGATCCCATATAAGTAAAAAACGTTATTTACAACTTTGGAGTAATATTAATTGATACAAACATGTTTTCCAACAACAGAAAAATCAAATAATGTAAGACAATTAATAAAAAAAGTTATATAAGCTCTATGTAATTAATTAAAACAATAATTACACAGAAATGGTTCCTTGTCACAGCTTTTGCTAAAGGTGCCTACCTTTTTAGTTTTTTTCATAGCATACTGACGGCCGTGTTGCTCACCATTTTTTTTGTGGCAGTTCTTGCAAATCTTCCTTCGTTGATGTTTACTTCCGTCTGCCTTCTGTTCAAGCTGATGGTGTTTATTTGACACTTCGTGGTACTGTGGTGGTTTCTAGATGTTCTACTATTTGTTTTTTAAAATCTGTCACCGACATGTTGTTATTTGTTACAAGCTTATATATTAGAAAAGAATGTATAACTGAATACGCTACTGAGGGTTGGAATACGCTCCCATTTGGTCAGCTAAGTCTACTGCCGCTTTGCCGTTATTGTAATCTATTGCCACCTTGGGTTTCAGTTTAGTTTGGCGATTACAAGAT